CAGAGCAGGAAATGTGTCATCACTGCAGTTGCGGTAACCCTCCATTTGCTGTGCCTACTTTTGACGTTACACTGCTTGGAAGCTTTAAGCATATCTTTTCGAATTTCTAACCTGTTTTGTGGGGAATCTAGGACGAAAAATGTACTACGTGGGACCGCGTTGACTGTGTTGTCTATTATGCCAGTGCACCTATATTTCGCTAAACGCGCCCTCCCATTAATGGCCTCACCAGGTCGAAAACTGAGTTGAGCGAAGGCTCCACCTCGTTGTCATCGTAACCGCGGTGACCACTGCATGCACCCGGTGGCTCAACGCAGGATGAAGTCAGTGGTTCTTGAGCACTTGAACCTTCACGAGTCTTTTTTTCTCCGTCTTCGATGTCAAGAACTCCAGCTGCCGTTGTGACTGCATCGGCTTTTTTCAACACTCACGAACACGTCATCGCGTCGCCTGTGTCTCGCCTCCAGAGTGAACGAAGCCGTTGTTAGAATCTCCCAAAACTGCACATAGCTGTCGTGCAGTCTCCACCTGCTATCGTTTAACCGAAATTTCGGAACACTTGTCATAGTGAACTTGATGCGATTGGTTGATTTTCTTTCTGAACTCATGAGGTTACGGGTGCGGAGCCAATTATTGAAGGAAGCATTGGATGAGTTTGTCACAAGGTTGCGTAGTTGAGTTCGGATACTTCAGAAAAGTACATGGTGGGCGTCTTTTCTTCCAAAAAAATTTATGGACCACTGATGCATATTTTCTATAGAGTAAAAAATAAAGCTGTCACCCATCCGTCTCAACCGTTACCTGTGGGACCGCGGCCGATAAACGCCTCACGTACCTGCCCTCAGTCAAATCAGTCGGGTAACCCTAAGACGAAGTTGTGTTTGAGAGAGGGTTTCAGTGTTCACTTAGTTTCGCTTCTCATCGCGCGGCAACCACATCGATAATCCACCCGTTCAAATCGTAGCCCATGTGTGATGATGGGGCTGGCGAGTGAATCTGGCCAGGGAGATAGGTCTTCTTGGTGACAGGTGGGCGAACACGACTTATGTGCCTAACCGACTGAAAGTCGAAGCATGTCCTGGTCTATTCGCCGCTGAGTTTGGCTAATGACCAGTGAAGTCGTGAACCCTGACAGTAAGCGTAAATCAGTGCAAGCAGTTCGCAGCCGTTCTCTGAGGCGAACAACCGATCAAGTGTGATACGGTCTGGAGGTTGTTGCTAGGGTATGCCGTCGGAAGTTTTTTGCGTTGAATTCGAAAGGCAAATACACGTATGTCGATAAACTTATTGCTCTAGTTTAAACAAAAATCAAGCCATCAGGTGGCATCTTGGGTTACCATATGGGACAAAAAATTGAGACCGTTAATTTGGCTATAGCACCGCTTCATTTCACTCATGGGTTACCCATCACAAGAATGAAAAAGAGCATTAGCTGTATACGTCAGATAGCGGACCAGATTAAACATGAGTATACAGTATATTTGTCCTCCCCCTGAAAGGCCGCACGGGGTTATCACTCCCCAAATGCAATACTTCTGACTGGCCCTTCGAGGTTCCCATTAAAATTAGCGACCCTAGAGCGTCTAACCCTCAGTTTGGAACTCAGCCCAGATTTTGAAGCAGTCTGGCAAATCCAAACAAGATAGAGCCAAGTGATCAGCATTGTACGACCAAGTCTTTTCGGCAAGTTAGCCATTATTCCTAAAGTTGAGATCGTTATGCACCAATCTATTACCCGATTCACCGTGATTAACGGACGCTGTTAACTGAGCTGAACTCAAAAATACTACGCGAATTTTCCTCGGGGAAACCAGGCAAACTTACACTAAATTTCGCCCTTATCCGTTGCGGTTTGCAGGCAAAACGGGTACCAAAAAGAAGTATTACCACTACCTTCAATCAACTCTATTGGCGTTTGAGATTCAGTGTACCTCAATTTAAGGTTTTATTATTCCAGATATGGAGATTCATAGAGGTTCACTTAACGAATCACGTCTCACCTCCTCAAACGCTAACTTATGAATGAAGATTACGTGTGCGGCTTCTCGTTTCCTATTCCTCTAACTACATAAATCTAGTTTTTTGCGCATTCAGTCATGCGAACACTGGTGTATCGTTCGTTACGTTGACATTTGAAATTCCCCATGTTTATACTGTCCCTATTTATAACCCCCTTCCACTTCTGTGTTTAGTGCATGTTTGTCCTTACCACTTCATTCATTCGGCCTTGAGGTCGTCCAGCCATTTGTGGCCGACTTTAGGAACGTGTGACTGTCCCACGTGGGAACCTGTTTGCCCATTCGGTTCGTACTTTTGTAGTTCAAGAGGACCATTTGTTTCTTGGACGAGTATCGACTGTCGAGGTTTGTATAATTTGTGAATTTATGCCTTACATTAATAGTACCGTATAGAGACCCAGCTCCGACTTTGTTTTGCCTTCCCGGAGGTTCTGGCATTACGCGTCACTCGAAGATACTGTTTGCCCATTACAACGGGTGTCCCCGACCATGGGTTATCCCTTTGCCCACATCCATTATTCGAGTAATGAATGATGTTACCCCGGGTCGGATATTTTTAACACTAAGTACGGCTTCCTGATTTGGTATATAAACAGTCATTGTTTTCTATCACTTGATCGGTGCCTGACTACTACTCAGCCAACAGCCAATCAACTACACTTTCATCTGCTACACTCGAACCGAATGGTGGCATGGTTTGAATCCCAGTACTGAAAGAATGATTACTGTTTACTCACCTGGAGTGTTGGGGCACCAGTCAGTTCCACACAAATTATAATTCTGCGCAGCAAGTATATATCCTATCCATAAAGTAAAAGTCGATCCTGTTTCGCCCTTCTTGGAGCTCTTCAGGTAGGCGCAGTCCCCGAGTTTCCGTCAACCTTATGATCTACTTGAACCCAAATTGGACTGTTTTCGAGAAATACACTAATTTGCAAATCAATTTGGTTTTCACGGGAGACTCAATTGAATCTCTCGTTTATGAGTAGTTTCCCTTATGAAAATATACTGCGATATCTCGAATATCGTGCCAACTGAATCATGAGGCGGCCTGTGTGCAGCACATTCAGTTGTAGAATATCACAAACGAGAGACTCGTTTGAGTCTCTCGTGAAAAATAAATTGAGTTGCAAATGAGTGTACTTCTTGAGAATAATTATGTTTCATTGGTCAACTATATTTCGGCGGAAACAGGAAGCCATGAGGCATGATGAAACGTGACGATCCATTTAAATACTGGAATAGAAACCATTTACAAGTGACTCGCAGTGAGGTGATTTAATAGATCGATTTATCCGTCTCATTCACTCCTGTAACTTCGCATGCGTTTCTTCCCCAATACATGGACATTCTTCCATACTAAATTTAGTATTTTTTCAGATATAATCCATCCGTAAGATAGCCTCAATGAAAGGATTCTGAAGAAAAAGATCGAGAGGTCGTTGTGACTATTCTATGGGACCGCAACGACAACCACCGGCCTGTAAATGTTTCGCTCAGGAAGATGTGAACGCATCGCGAACCGATGCTCCATGATTCTGGAACCACACTGAGGATCATTCATAAAATGGCAATCTGCATGAAGTTCAAGAAACACATGCGTAAACTCCCCTGATACATTATATAAACGGTACTGAACTCCTATTGGTAATAACTCGTCCGAAAAAAAGTAGTCCTACCGATTGAATTCCGAGCATTCAAGCACAAGCCACTAACTTCAAACTGCTAGCTGAACGGCAGAGATGGACCTCCAGTTGTCTCTCTCGGATCCAAATGTGCGAATATGTTGCAGTCTCGTTGAGGTCAGAAATAACCTCCTATGTGAGTGGTACATGTTAGGGACCCATTCTATCCGCAAACTAGGGAGATAACTCTTCTCTTATCCTCGAACTGTCTTCATTCGGCTCCCGAACAAACTTGTATTAAAGTGAACTTAACTCCTTATTTGGCATACTGATTGAGTACTCAAGTGTAAGTCATCGAACACCCATTGATCCACAGTATCTTACAATAGATCACATTTTTCCTGACCAGATTATGACTGTTCTTTTTCGGAGTCGTGATATCATGCAAAATAAGTAACTAAGTATGTGAAACTTTACTTACCCAGACATACCGATAAACAATGTAGTAGTTGTGATGCGCTCGGTCGATTTCGACCCGAATTTTCTTAGGCATAGTTTTTTGTGTTATCGAATAGTACGTATGATGGCCAGATCTGTTGTCGACAACTAAGAACAACACGATTTTTACCGCGACTCCGAATCAGATCAGCCGTACACGCGCAAACTCTGAGCTTTGCCGCGCGACTCTAACAATAGACAAATTTCGAGCTACGGTACTTGGTGCATACTCGCCGATTATTACGACCTTCTTGTGGCTTCGAAATTCAAGACAATCTGATCAGTGATACGAAAGTGAATCCCAAATACCCCGAGCTCACACGGAATGTTCATCTACCTACTTGTGCTGGGCAACGCTGACTACGTTAAATGGTGACTACCATTTATTAATCCAACTTTCAAGTGGATTTCTCATGATGCGAAAGAGGTACAACACCACAGCTAACAGAACTTCATTTTTTACAGGACACGTAATGTAAAGATGTGTATTTCCTATCTGCTACGTGCTATTCGTCTTTTTATACCTCATAGGAAAGCGTTCCTTCCATCCTTTTCACTGCTCTGATGACCGAAGAGCCAGTCCAATACAATTACCAGGACTATTTCGGTCATTCGCATGCTTTTGATGCAAATGTACACCAGCATATGGTCGGCTGAGAGTTCAACGGTTGACCGAGAACACTAGTGATTCACAGACACAAGTGCATCGCTGTATCACCGCAGCACCAAAACTGCGGACTAACTTGGTCACTTCGAGCAAGCTCGACCTTGAAAACTGTTGAGCAGCAGCGCTGGGTTAAATAACCTGCTCGCATTGGAATATATGAAAAGATCAGATACAATGGTACATGTTTTATCACGACCAGTTTCACTCAACACGCAGAGTAGGAAAGTTGCTGCAAGAGAAAAGCATAGCTGCCAAAGGCAGTGCAAATTGCTGGCTAGACAGTGCAAGGCTGTGTTCGTGTGTTTGTGCGGTTTGAGCAACATTCTTATAATTTATTCTGTACAGAAGTCGAGTAAATTTCACGAGCTGCTTCATCATCAGTCATGGTAGCAAAACGGTTTTGGTGTGCGAGATGTGTGTGTGTGTATGTGTGTGTGTGTGTGGAAGGAAGGACTAGACTTCAAAAGTGCAACAGAATGTTGGTTATTTACATATTGCTATGGTACATATCACAGCGGCATACAAGAAAATACAAAATTCGCGCTTCTAACAAATCATACTTCGTGGATCTTATCCAAATTATGCCAAAGGAAGTTGTATGTGGCCTGATCATCCTCCGGTGTGTGTGTGAAGGACTAGACTTCAAAAGTGCAACAGAATGTTGGTTATTTACATATTGCTATGGTACATATCACAGCGGCATACAAGAAAATACAAAATTCGCGCTTCTAACAAATCATACTTCGTGGATCTTATCCAAATTATGCCAAAGGAAGTTGTATGTGGCCTGATCATCCTCCGCGATTCGAACTCGGTTGCGTCCCAACGGGTCAACTATATTGGGTAAACCAAGGCCATCTTTTGGCTCATACAGATGAGTTTCGTTTGGCTTGTCTTGCCCTAGTGATCCAAGAGAGGTGAGCCTCCCTACTGCGAAGGAAGTCAGCGGAATGGTTAGGTAATAGTTGGCTAAAATGGCCAATCGGGGATAGGTGCTGACCTTTTCAGACCACCATGCAAACGGATTCTCTTCCAGTCCGAGTGGTTCCTCTCGAAGGTAACGGTCCACTTCAGACAGCGAAGTGCGCGCGAAGCACTGGAGACCAAATACAGTTCGTAGGCCGGTGGTATCTGATGAAGGTTTGGTGGTTTTTCCACCCGCAGATATTGGGGACGGGTCAGTAGTGCTGAAATTCTGCTGTTTTGGTGTGCAGTCAATTGACGTAGGAACTGCCTCAAGCTGCAATAGGGAGCGAGAAATGGGAAAACTGAATATCGAACCTCCTCAAACATAAGAACAACAGGACCCGGTTCAGATTGTTTGCACACCCACGTTTCCTAAACCTCAAGTACATACAACGCGGGTGAAAAGACACAAGCGGGACTGGACTCGACCCAACAACGTTCCACTTATCGGAACCAACCGAACTGCCGAAAATGCCTGTTCTCTGTTGCGCACTCGTACTTCGCAATCAATTTTCCACATCTGGGCCTGATGTCTAGCAGTATCAGTCAGCCTTTTCTATAATGGACTAGACATCAGTGTCTCTCGGGTACTCGTAGGACTTTGTGTACATACCAGAAGTGCTTTCAAGACCGACCACCCCCCTCCTAGACTCTAACCTTTTTTCTCAGCTGCACGTCACAATGAGTTCACCACAGCATCCCCAGCATACCGAGGTCCTGAGAGAACAAAATCACACAATTAGAAGATAAAACTAGCATTTCTAAGGTCTCGATGTGTGGACACTATGAACAGTTTAAGAGGACACTCTGATTTTGGGCGCATTAAGCACGCGTACTCACGGTACACAACTGTGGTTTGCCCCAATTTGGTCTGGTCACAGAAACCACTTCTTTCTTTGCTGAGGCCAAAGCACACACAAACCGATTCCAATCAATCGAGCTATCAGAGTCAGTCCACTTGTGCTCAGTCGTGGATTTTCGCGTACACACACAAATAAACAGTATGCTAGTTGTCGACTGATGCATCCACTAAAGTTTCAGTGGAAAAACCGCAATGCGAATACTGATCGCTATTTTTGTTCGCATTCTTAGTTTTCACCATTACTTGTATACTGGGTCAACACAGTGAACCGGTGGAATACCAAGTAGGAACGTGGCTGATTAAGATTGTTTTTGGTACGAATCTCAGGAACGAGTAGCCGTGCACATCATGCGAAAGCTTTCTTGTTATTGTGTGTGTGTGTGTGTGTCGGCTTCTACTAAGTTCGTCCAGTATTGTGCACAATGTCCACACATTCTTAAAACAGATGATGAAACGACCCTGCAGAGGATATGTGTTAGAAAACGATAGATAACATAGATGAATCGCGGCACTTGGTTTGCTTCAAGTAAGAAAACGCATTCGCCAGCTGTAATGACGCACCTTTTCTCGAAGTAGCGAGACGACGCTGGGTTTTTGACCTTCGCTGTGGTCCTTGAATCTGGGATCAAGAAGGCTGGCAAGTTGCAAGGTCTCTCTGACTGCCGCATCCTCCGGGTAGGCTTGCATCAAACTTTCGCGGATAATCGATTTGAACTGTTCTACCACATTTGTGCCTCGCGACGGATCTTCGCTGTTGTCTTGTGGTAATTCTTCGGCCGATGCTAAATGGGTCTGACAAAGATTCTGTAGAAGAGGTTCCATCATTGAGGCTGTAAGGACAAGATCTCGACGGTGAATGAGCTCCAACGTCTGGTTTAGTAGCTGAAAAAGTGAGAAAGATGAGTGGTATGATAACTTGTGACCCATAAAACTACATCTGAAATTCACAAATTCCTCGAAGCCAGAATAACTGAATCATCACTAACAATAAATTAAATTCAAGCAAATTCGACGTTTGGCTCACTGTAAACTCATATTTCAGATATTGATAACTGTTACAGAACTGGGCTCCACAAAATTTACCAAAAGTGCGAACGTTACTCACCTCCAAAACATGCCGAAGTTCCTGCAATACGCGTTTGTCATCAGAGACCGGGGTTGGTACGGCCGTATCGGAAGCACTTTGGATCAGATGGTACGCCTGTGCCCAAGAACTGCAAACAGATTCTATTTGAAAATTCTTAGGAATATCCTCCTCATTACTGCTTGGTTGAGTTGCATTCTCAGCCACTTGCACCTCGTCGATCAGGTTGTTACTGGGTAAGCGTTCATTTCGGTCTTCAGAACTAGTCTTCTCATCATTCTGATTTGAATAGCAAGCGTTGTCCGGGAGCTGCTCGTTTTTCCTCTGGAGACCTCGTTTAGTTCTGTGCAATACACGCTGGACACCAACAAGGTTCAAGCCGGCCTGAAAGAGATCGATAAATAACTGACCTATTAACAGCACCCAGGTTAGACTAGGCTAGATAAAACATGCGCCCGTCCGAAAGCACGTGCTTTAGGCACGGTTAAAGTCTGTTACAAACGAACGAATTAAATGCATCTCTAGTTTGTAATGAGGAACAAGACTTGCCATCAGGTGAAAATGATCGGTGATTATCAGATTCTGATATGCGCACCCTTTTGAACTCATTTGGAGCAAAGTGCATAGTGAAGTATGGTTGTTGGTCTGTTCGCCGAGCTTGGCAGTTGGATTGCAAACGTTTCATCACCAATCGAGGTGACATCGTCAGCGCAGGCCAAGCTCGGCGAACAGACCAACAACCATACTTCACTATGCACTTTGCTCCAAATGAGTTCAAAAGGGTGCGCATATCAGAATCTGATAATCACCGATCATTTTCACCTGATGGCAAGTCTTGTTCCTCATTACAAACTAGAGATGCATTTAATTCGTTCGTTTGTAACAGACTTTAACCGTGCCTAAAGCACGTGCTTTCGGACGGGCGCATGTTTTATCTAGCCTAGTCTAACCTGGGTGCTGTTAATAGGTCAGTTATTTATCGATCTCTTTCAGGCCGGCTTGAACCTTGTTGGTGTCCAGCGTGTATTGCACAGAACTAAACGAGGTCTCCAGAGGAAAAACGAGCAGCTCCCGGACAACGCTTGCTATTCAAATCAGAATGATGAGAAGACTAGTTCTGAAGACCGAAATGAACGCTTACCCAGTAACAACCTGATCGACGAGGTGCAAGTGGCTGAGAATGCAACTCAACCAAGCAGTAATGAGGAGGATATTCCTAAGAATTTTCAAATAGAATCTGTTTGCAGTTCTTGGGCACAGGCGTACCATCTGATCCAAAGTGCTTCCGATACGGCCGTACCAACCCCGGTCTCTGATGACAAACGCGTATTGCAGGAACTTCGGCATGTTTTGGAGGTGAGTAACGTTCGCACTTTTGGTAAATTTTGTGGAGCCCAGTTCTGTAACAGTTATCAATATCTGAAATATGAGTTTACAGTGAGCCAAACGTCGAATTTGGTGAAGTATTTTCAGAACCGCACACTTCTACTCTATATTTACCACTAGCGAAATTTCCAAATAAATTGCCCCGTAATTGTCAGGTCTTTCTCGGAGGTTATAAAACGGTTATAATCAAGTGTGACCATTTCTAACAAATTTAAACGGACCTATTAACCACAATACAAATAGATTGAATTTTCATCAGTTCACCTTGTGGACAGTTTCACAGTAAAGAATCGTTTGTTTTCCATAGGGGAAACTCGGTTCAGATGTAGAACCTTTTCGATGGCTAGCTGCCCTCCCAACGGAACGAGGCACTAGGGTTGGGATACTGTGAGGTTGCTCAATCATAGACAGGAACAGTTGCGATGCTGAGGTTGGATTGGGACCATGGATCTTCCGGTCCGTAAACTAGCAACTTAATCACTGGGTTACCTCGAGTCCATAATGGAAACTCCTCACAAGGCTGCTGAAAACTTTTCGGCAGCTCACGACAGCCCCCATCTCATGAGCCCCAAGAAAGGCGAAGCCGGTCGCGGGCTGTCGAAGAGTTTTCAGCAGCCTTGTGAGTAGTTTCCTTCGTGAAAATACACTACGATATCTCGAATATCGTACGAACTGAGACATGAGGTGGTCTCTGTGTAGCACATTCAGTTGAAGGACATCATAAAAGAGAGGTTCAGCTGAGTATCCCGTTAAAAGCAAATCGGTACGCAAATGAGTATATTTGTCAAAGTCGTTGCGTTTGTTTGCTGCAGCCTGAATGTTGTAGGTTCTGATATGAGTTCATCCGTCCTGAGCACTCAGTGTACGACTTCACTTGATTAATTCACTAAGACATTTCCCTTCCAACTCAAGGCAATCATTTAACGAGAACCCTAAATAGGATACCGAAAAAGAGAATGACCTGGCTCTAATACGGCAAATATCGTCAATCTGACTGATAGTTCTCACCTGTCCTAAAGCTATCCTAGAGTGTCACAGTATCTTAAATAAGTGAATTTTGCAACCTTAACAACTGCTGTATGTCACGGTGGATGCCAGAATACTTCCTGTTTGGATGACCTAATAAACTGACCTGATTTTGGCCCGAAACTGATATCAGACTAGGTTCACTTCAATACATGGCAGTCAAGTATGGAAAGAATATGGACTAAACCCACCACTGGTAAGAAAGGATCGCCTGCAAAACTCGTTCATTGGCTTGCCTTCTTATTAAATTACCGCTATCCGTTCCTTGATGATTGTGAAGACAACGATCGCTTCTACAGCCATCCTGTTGTTGTTACTGCATCCCTTTCCCACTTAGCGCCTCCATTTCGTGGCGGTTTCAAACTGACTGGACTAACTGATTAACCAACGGGCTATTGGCGGGTGGCATATGGTAGGAGACTTGACCAAACTAAAGGGGTCTGGTGAACAACCCGACTAAGTAACGGTATATCGATCTTTCCTCAGTCACCAAAATTTGTTTCAACTCACCATCACAGCTCTGATCATCTGGGATACAAAACAGGGTATGAGGAGGAATTCACGGCCAGCGATTTCGCAAATGTCTGTCCGAATCTCGGTCGATTTGGCATGGATTGTTTGTATTAGCGGGACCTGGTTTGTCACCAGCGGGATGGCCCAGTCGTTGGATTTGAATTTTTCAGCATTTTGCGTCGGTCTGATCTGATCGCAGCAATTTCTAAGAGCAGTGGCTAGGTCTTCATAATCAGTGACCTAAGTTAGAGAAACGGGAAGCGAAGTAAACGCATTTGAAACGCATGGTCTTAAAAGGAAGTGCATTCAACACAACAATGCAGAAAATCAAATGTGCTCAAAATAAACGTTTGCCCTCAGTAAGTTTGACGATCGATATTCCTATGAGTGGCTCAAATATGGAAGTGAAACGCGCAAAAGTTTTGTACCTTCGACACCGAATGGGTGAGGCGTTCCAAAACAAGGAATGAAGCAAAACTTATGCATGTCAAGACTACCATGGGACAGTGTGTCATGTGGCGGATTACCTACTTCGGTACAGCCACATATGAGCATAAAGTTTATGACATGACCTTTACCCCTTTCTACTTATGAGGTGGATACTAGACTGGCACAAGAGTAGAATGATCCTCATAGGGGACGATCTAAGTAATACTTCTACAACATTCCAACACTTTATTCTCTAACAGGAAAGATATGTAGATCTGTTTAGTTTTTTTTTAACTTGAAGTTGAGGAATCAGGCATTGTTTAGGCTAACCCTATTTCTCTAACAGGAAAATATGTAGATCTGTTTAGTTTTTTTTTAACTTGAAGTTGAGGAATCAGGCATTGTTTAGGCTAACCCTATTTCTCAAACCCCAATTTCTCACCTTGATCGAATCGTATACGTGACTCTGCAAACTAGACGAGCGTAAAGATGAGCGATGCACTTCCAAATTGGCATGAACAGCACTGCCCTGCACAAATTTTATGTCCCCTACGGTATCCATCCTTGCTCGCGATGCTGAGGGCCATATTTCAACCGAGAATGCCAGTGCCTGCAGATTGTCCTCAGCGCTTCCTGACTCCATATTTTGGTTCGCTTTTCCTTGATCCAAGCTGACCGAGTAAGCTTCGCTATGGGCCGTCAACCTGAGTACAGTATTGTCCCGTGCTTCTTTGACCAGTCTTGGCAGCAACTCTGCACGAAGCCTTTCGGCGGAGGGCAGCTGGCAACCAGTAAGGAATCCAATCATGCTCTACAGGTGACAGGGATAAAATGAGACGTAATTAAAGATTTATCATTCATAATAAGAAAGTTTCAGAAAGAGAAAGACGTTTTCTGCCATGCTGACACCGGCGCTATCCTGCCAGCCATTTACACTTTCCAAATTCGATGTTGCTAGTCGGCAGAAAAGACCAGTACAGCTTTAGTGAGCCTTCACCACATAGTGTCCGGCAGCATCTAATATTTAGGTAGCCATATCGCTTCGTTGAGAGCAGTGAATTTTTCGTAATTGTTTTCAGTTAGAATAGATTTACATGTTGACCAATACGATTCATACAAGCTGTTCGAGAGCCTTGTTCTGATACAAACACTGAGTATTCATTAGCATGGTCGGAAAGACCGATTTGCAGCATCTTTGTGAATAAGTTCATCAATCATCGGACGATTGTACCGCACAGCATGTTTCCCCTCGCACACGGGCAGTAAGTAATTTTCCAATAAATGTTAACTCCGGTTAGTTGGATGGGCCAACAGTCGGTTCCCCAGATCACTGAGTCACGATGTATGGTACTAGCCTAACACCAGTTTACCTCATAAAAGTAGATAATAAAAATGCTCCAGTTGAAACCAAATTGCACGAAATGAGTGTATATTCGCTAATTTCGTGCAATTTGATTGCAAGTAGAACATAAGGTTGATGGAAACTCGAAGACTGCGCCTACCTGATGAGTCCCATGAAGGGCGAAACCGGTGATGGGCTATCGACGATGTTTCAGCAACCTTATGAGTAGTACATTACGAATATACATGTATGGTGATATTTCGAATATCGTAGCGACTGAAACATGAGGCGGCCTGGTGCAGCACACTCAGTTGCCTGAGAACATCACAAACGAGAGATTCAGCTGGGTTCCAGGTGAAGTTTCTCGAAAACCAAATTAGTTTGCAAATGAGTGTATATTCGCTAGATAATACAAAGTTGCAAAATACCTGATTCTACTGTGTGAACCAGAGACTTTACAACTTCGAGTAGACGGTAAGTGAGGATCTGGATTATGGTACATCTCAGAATGAAAGCGATTAACAGCACACATGAACAAAATACGGGATATCTGCATCCTCAAGCTATCTGCTACTCCAAACTGTACGATTGTTACCAAATTCCCAGTTCCCAGTGTGCGTAAGCAAACAACCGTTGTAGCTTGGACAGTTAACGAGTTTCAGCAGTACTACTGCAAGTAAGCTCCAGTTTCGCTAAGCAGGAACTGCTACCTCTTGCTGTGAACGAGCCCTTCCTAATGTGTCATAACAAATCCCTCAACTGTGCTTTTGTTTGTAACAGCGTCACATAATATCGACAATTTGTCGAGTATGACATTAGCAAACAGCATTAACGATCGGATGGCAGCTAGTTCGCACAATCGTGAGCAAACTCAACTCCGACTTAGACCGATTTGACTGACCACCTAGTCTAAATCATATCAGGCGATTCAGCTGAACAAAATTCGATACACCTGTAGACACTGTATGACGCCGGTCCAGTGATGGCCAACTCTTCCTTTTGCTTGCAGCTGACAGCCCCCATCACGTGCCGTATCTAGTACTTAAGAACTGTTTTCGTTGCGTGTATTCGGTACTAATACAAGCCATGTATTCCAACACATCCGCTGAAGCACTCAAAATTTGAACAGCCTTCGCACGAACTGGTACACACGCGTACGATATGGAGACGTGGGACCCGCATAAATTCACACTAGCCTTAGCCTGTGGTTCGAGCCCCCACTTATATCTCTCGAGAATGTGCATACACGTACATGACCGGAACGATGAACAACAACCCGGCAACTGAGCGACCAACGGGTCGAGTGAACCGTCTTCATAGTGGTGGTGGCGGTGGCGGTACCGCAGCTGCTACTCAGGTGGTGGTTTCATCGGTGCAAGCAACAACACAGCAGCAACAAAAGTATCGGCGAGTAGCGTGTGTAGCTGTGTGCACACGTGTGTGTGTCCACACGTTATAGTTTGAAAGGCAGTCAGTTAGCACACCCATATAAGTGATCGAAGCTTATCATTGTCAATCTGTCTGTCTACTGCCGAAAGGCATCGCACCGGGGCGCTACTCGTCCGAATACGACATCTGAACAACTGTCGCACACTGCTGACAGCCTGCTTGGTGAATGCGGGTCTCGAGATGGTGAAAGTCAAGATTTATGGCCGATACGGTACTGTGCATGGTATCCGAGTGCGAGCCCTTGAGATTTCGAGTACCCGCTATTTAGTGACCGTGAACACTCGCTTGGCCACCGCACGTTTGTTTTCCAACATTGGTGCTGTTGTGGGTCTGCAACAATGTCACAGACACTGTCCATCAAACAATTCATGAGGAAAACTTACTTTAAACCCTTCGCCTTCCACGATTTCTGGTGGCTGCATGTCTTTTACCAGGTACCGGATGAGATTGTGCAAGAATGTAGTTTGCGTGACCTGGTTCCTTTCGGGTTTTGAAATCTGCTGCTCAACTTGGTTGACCGCAGATGATGCTCTGGAAACTTCGGGGATGACTAAAAGGTGCTCCGTCGCTTTATTTGTCATATCTGTGGCCTCACTGTCTTCAGTGTCAGTACTGCTTACGTGTTCCAAGACACGACGCTTCTGAAACGTAAACAATGGATGCGATAATTAGTGAATCAAAGGAATGTGATGTTTTAAAATTCGGAAAATAATTGCCCCTCTAGTGGAAAATGAGGGTAGTTAAACCGATTTCTACTACAGTATTCATGACCATCGTTTTCATTTCAGGTGGACTGTGGAGTGACTTCAGTAACGTCGCATTTCAACATCTTCATTCAAAACGCCGAAAAAGTAATGAATACATTTTAACTCGCGTCTCAACCCTGGGAAAATATCGGCCTGTCATATTCACTGAGGGGGGTCACCTAATGGAAGCTAGACACCCACACTAAGCAAACTATCTGCGCTGGTGTGTCTGTTGTGTGCAAATGCTCGTAGACCAGTGAGAGAAACTTACGGGGACTGGTTTAGCTCGATAGACTCATAAATCACCTCGGTCAGAGAACGGACAAGTTCGCTCCGCAGCTAAGTGAGAGGATCAACCGACATCAGCTGTGTTCAACTGTCTTAATAAAACACACCGACAGTGTGCTCGATATCCGCTTACAATCGAACGGGGTGATCTGCGTAGCCTGGAAGAGTTCACTGGTTTGACTGAGGTTTCAAACGGGACATATAGTGGTTTGGTGACAACTTGTGTTAGTTCGAAGAACTGGTTGGCTTGCAATCAGCCATCAGCCACACCGTTTCTTGTACAAAAATCAAGGGATTAATGCAAGTGTTAGATAGGGATATCTTTTAACTTCAGAAAAATCACGCAATCTATGCTGTCACCGCTCTCAAGCAGTTATCGGGACTGATTCCGCCAGTCGTCCCTGCAGAACTTCACCATGTCGTAAAATCCTTGGAAAAGCTTGCCCACGGCAACAAAAGCCTCGGATTATAGCATCTTGCCGCAATACACTGTGACGTGACTTTGAGAATTTCCACATAATACAACCTAATACAAATGATGTATTCTTGTTCTTCCTCGAATTCCCCTCCCGATTCTCTCTCTGTCTCTCCTTCCATTATTGTTATACCCATCAGTGGAGCAAAAGGAAGAAAACAGAATGAAAAGGCAGTGCCGATGTATCACTGTCCACAATTTCGATGCTATACTGACAAGCAGTCACCTGATATGGTGCGCTTGACAGTTTTATGTATCTAACTTGTGCTAATATTCAAAGGGAATTTTGATGCAGACCAATCCCGTCAGTAACCGATGCCCTGATGGGAGGGCTAGATACGCTACACGCTATGACATAACGAAACAGTAGGTTGGACAGTGTGTTTATCTCATATTGTGGGGGGCAACATGCTTGAGAAATGACGTCATCAAGCCATGTTACAAAAACAGTACAACTCAGTTCTATCTGAACTTACTGCTTCACAGTGCGGAGATATATAGTTTGGACGAGCTCGTTTCCTCTTCGTTGATGACGCTGGGCCAGGCTCACTTGCTTGGCCTGTCTTCATTTCCTCATCGTCTAATGTTGGAACTTGAGGGCTGCCGGAACGCGGACGAAATCCGTTGTTTGTTGACAGATCCAAAGAATTCATAGAAACTCCTAGGTTCACTGAATTGCCGCTCATATTGTTATATTTGGCCGTAGTAGGTGAGTTTGAGACCATGTGTTCCAAGGACACAGTTGGGAATGTAGATTGCGGTTCATTGGAGAGTCTGGATGATGACTGTAAGTGGTGCTGTGCTTGTGATTGGTTCACTGTTGGACTTGAATGAGATGTCATCAAAGAGGCTATCGTCAGGCCTGATGCATTCATATTTGGCGTGACTTGTGAAGAATTTGTCCACTGATTCAAGCCGTCTAGCAGTGATCTTGTCACCTGGCTTGGTGACTGCAATGAATCGACCAGGGATCCAACTGGCAGAGATAAGTTTGAGCTCGCGTGCACCTCGTTGTTAGTTGTCAGCGGACCGACCGAATTGACATTAGATCCTGCGGAGTTGGTCAACAAGTTCAGCACGGAAGCGGGATCAATGAAACCTGCTGGATTGTTTATCAGTTTTCCGTTTGTGAAACTTGCTAACCAGGCCTGCAACCATTGTTGTTGTTGTTGGTGTTGCTGCTGCTGCTTTTGTTGTTGAGTTAGTAAATCAGGCTCGTTACACTGAAACATTGTTGGATTTTGCCCGTTAGAAAGAGTCGGAAAGAAGTTCATAAAACTACCAAAACTACTTGCCAGGTCCGCAGGGCTGGCTACATTTCCAACATTGGCTTGAGATTGAAGTCCAGATGGGCAGATCATCGCACCATCACGACCGACCATCCCAGAAGAATAGGATGTTGTTGCCACGGGACTGGAAACGAGACAGTTTCCGGTACCAATAACGTCAGTTACATGTCCATTTGTAATCGGTCTTGCTTCATGTGTCAGTGATACTTTGTGAAACGGAATCGGTTGGTTTGCCTGACTGAACCTGTGAGACAGATGTGTGGGAGAGGTCACGCTGCGATTATCAGTTGAATTGGTTGGTGACGCACTGGTGGTGGTTGGTTCAACCGGACTACTCACACTGACACCAAGACCAGAACTAGACGACGGAGATAGCTCCTGGGCAGCCGGACAGTTTATTTGGCCGGGTAAAGGTATACCGAACGCTCCGTTGGAAAAGGCCGATACAGCATTTAGGAGAGAATTTCGTGGAAATAGAGGTGTTGAGAACATTTTGTTGGCAGCGCAGGAGAGTGCAGCGTCTGTGACCGCATCGAACTTGTGTCCGCCCACGCCAACTAAATTCATTCCTGGGAGTAGCGCGCCAACCTCTTTGCGTTGGTCATTTCCGTTGGCTCCTACGATACTATCTTTTCCCAATGCGGATAGACTCTCTGCAGAAAATAGCATTTCATTGATCAGTGCCCGGTGCTGTTGTTCAGTTAAGGCAGCATAAGAGCCAAGCTGAAAGAGAAGCAAGACGAGCGGATTTTACGGTGCTTGAAGAATACTTGGGAATGGTAGTGCATGACCAGTACGTAAACATTGGATGCAACAAGAATAAATTTCAACTCCATGTGCCCTACGCCTATAGTTTGATTAGATTCCTATCAGTAATATGTTGCAAGTTTTAAAAACAGAGATTGTCCACCCAAAACAGAGTGGTGGATCTTGACATGCTGTCAGTGTACACGCCAATTACAGTCCAAGTTAGGCACCCTAAGTTCTGGAATGGCCTGCTTAAATGAAAGTTCCGTGTGACAAATGAGCTCAGCGCACGAGCCCCTGAGGCCATTTTGAGATCCCTGGGTCTCAAGGAACGTGTGTATAAGGCTACAGTACGAGCTGTTTTTTTATTGTCAAGCCTGGTCTTTGTGAGCGATGGGACTCAAACATCTTCAGGTTGCCAATGGCCGTTGTCCCAACCGTAGCGCGTGTAGGCTGGTGTCAACAAATCTGAATCTAAACAATTAGGACATGAGTGTGTGTTTGTTCAACAAGGGCTGCAACTGAAGATAGTGTCCAGAACCAAAGACTGAGACTGGTGCGTTTTTGTTGCGCAGGCCGAATCATCGTTTATGGAAAATATGCTGTTCTTGCGTCCAATCCAGAGTGGTACAAACAGAGAGATGGTCAACCTTTGACCCGGCAGATGAGTATGGAAGCAATTGCGAGGTGCCAGGGTAGTTTCGGCGCGATTTCCCTTCCAGGATAGGATTCACACGACACCCTCTGTGCCTTGTTGTAGCTGCTGCCTGATATGGCTGCTAGTCGACGTCAATGGCGTTTGTCTTGCCATCTTCCATCCCAATTATCCAAATTAGCGTCTGTGGGTATCTTTAGATGATTATAGTTGGTAATCTCATCCTATTTTGATCTGTCCTACACAATAAGGTTTCCGACTAAATTATGGCTGTACGGTGTACGGTTGTCAATGATGATGATGATGATGATGTCACCATGAAACCATCCACCAATTAGTGGGTTACTTGTCTCTTTCAACATAGTAGAAAGTACCTTGTTTGAAGTAAACCTTTGGACTAAAGTTTCCTGGCTTTCATTCTCAGCTGAAACATTCTGCTCATATTGCTGAGAGAGATTCAGTTGAATCACCCGTAGACACCAAATTGATGTGAGTGTATTCGTGTATCACGTCAACCCCGCATTACCTTACTTGGTATTGAGGGGTGCATTTCAAACTACGTAGGAGCAACAGATACCTTTGAATTAATCACAAGCGTTCTGGTTTCCATCCGAGAAATCCTTGTTTAAAAGTCGTTGGTTGCGGCACACTGCGAGTATTTCAAGATATTCCCACGAGAAATTTTCAAAATTTCAAATGTCGCAGTGCGTCATACGATGCGTTTGAAATCTGAATAAGCCCATTAGAGAGCGCTAGAACCCCTTGTGATTATAAGCATTCATCGTGTGGACCTCTGGAATTGACCCAAATGCTATATCGTGAAGCCGTTGAGACTAATCCCCATTAACACTGCAATCTTCGTATAACTGACGAATATTTCGGAACAAAATCTCCTTAGTCCCGTGGCTTGTTTACTCGTATACTGGTTGAGAAGCCATCGAACAAAATCTCTTAGTCCCGTGGCTTGTTTACTCGTATACTGGTTGAGAAGCCATCGATGAAGTTACCAGTTAAATCTAGAATGTGTCAACCTGCTTCTCGAATTAGCAGTTGGTTTCTACTGATTAAATGTGGAAACAGTAAAAGGGTTTTATTGTACAAAGCCACACTCGTGCGGAAGCATAAACTCAATACACATCCGCATTCAGTACGCTAAAGTGCTGAAGTAGGAAGCAGAGTGGATAACAATAAGGAGATTGACTAAACAGGCAAATTGGTAGATAGGAAGCTCAATATAAAGAAATGTAACAGTCACTACAACAGTCGGATGAACGCAACGGTTGAGTGGTAAAGCTAGCTGCTCCTCTAGTTCACCAACGGGTGAGTGAGAATTCACCAGCCACATCCTAGAGACCTAGCATTAAGGGCTGAAGTGGATTCTCTTCCAACCCCCTTATCTGTGGATGCATTCGATAAGCCGAAAATCTGGGTTTTCGGTGACTTGTTCCCTCTTTCTTACAGGTTCAGAAGCTTTTCTTTCCTCGAAAAGCTTCCATAATTCCAAACCCCACCTTCAATATGTCCCGGTACCATGACAACCAACGCAAATACAGTGTTGATTGTGGATGCAGCAGGTGTGTGAGCTCTCGTAGCCTAACAAGCAGACCGATTCCGGCCGAAAGTCCCATGATCAGTGCGCCCCTTTCAAATTCAGGTTCGATCGGCGTTCAAGAAGCATTGGTTTGTCAACGGCCCATGTGGTACTGCACACCTGCCCACCGCCGTTGCTAAGATAGCCCCAACTACGCTAAAGCACAGGTACACACGCATAGGTACACATTCGTCTGGCCAAGAACAAAGCGACGTGGAGCATACATTGACACAAGACAGTTCGTATGGGTGTGGTGTTCAGATCGATTCTGAGGTTTAGGTGGGTGGTGGGCGAATGTCTGTGTCCTGTTGTCACTTTCACTCGTGATACAGCACTGTCGATCCACCTAGGTCAACACCCGTATCGTATCGACGGTAGCGGTGGCGATAGTGGATGTGACAGTGGTGAGGATGTTCGGGTGCGCGCGTGCATGTTTGTCAACACGGTAGGATTGAGTAGGGCGGGCAAAGAAAACACGACGTTCACTTCAGTTGTATGTAAGTACTTAAGCTTACAGCACGGACCTGCAAGGCTCAACAGTCCGCAAGGCGCTTGGTGGGAGAAACCAGCTGCGACACGAACGGACGAACTAACAACGAACGAAGGAAAACTAGTTTTGTGTGTATGCGCTGCAGAGTCGGTTACACATTTAGCTAAAAAGGGTGTTTGGGGATTTACCGTTTGTCAATCAACCGGTTTTTAGTTGCTTCTCGTGTGAGCTAAGGGCAAGTTGTGGTTTGGCGTAGTACACTTCAACAACTGTGTGTCAAACAATCTGAGCAACACGGGACTGACAGGGCTGCACACCCTATCTACACGCAAAATCTCGGTCGTGTTTGCCAGCTTGGTTGCAAACACGCGTACCGAGGAAATTCTACGAGTAGCAGCAATGGAACCGGAAGCAAGGGACGGAAACGTCGTTTCGCAAGTGTGCAGATAGTGAATCGGAGAGTCGATTCTCATGGGCAACTCTAGCTATATGGTTTGAATTTCGGTATGTTCGAAGGGGGGTGTCCTGCTGTCAATCTTGTCCAAAACACTGAGCTTTTGCCCAGTGACCTTAGTAGTTATGTATAAACTGAGACAGAGGCTTTGAAGATGGCTGTTTAGGAACATGATTCGGTTCTTCGGACTAACCTAGAAGAGCAGGAACTGTGTCCATGTAACGGCACCTCGGATTTTCCTGGACTGATGGCCCTAGCTACAACTTTAATTTCATCCCACTTTTGTTTTAAGTGTGACATTTTCAAATAAAGTTATGAATTTATGTCATTACTAGTGGTATTTATAACTTTGTATACGATGACGATAATGATAACGACGAGGAGGAGGAGGGGATGTTTAAAGATTAGGAATTAAGAGGGATGAAATCGGTCTCTTTTGTACGGCCAACTGCACTTCATTGTGTGCTATACATTCCGTTGTGACATCCAGGGTAGAGCCATTGCCCCCTAACTTTAAATAGCAGGAAATCTTTTGAAAGATCCTCACTGAAGTACGGTACGTGCAATCTTCATGCAAACTACTCATGGTTCATCATAAACGAATGCGCGTTCTCTAGTTTGGAAATTCAAGAGACAAGGTTAATTGTCATTTCTGGGATGAGCTAGTGACAGCGGACAGCACTTGGGTCCATGTTTCGGAGTGGCGAAGTTATGTGTGCTGTGAATATGACCTTTCAAGAAAGTGGTTCGGACCGACTGCTCCGGTGGAATGGACTTTATGCAATGTGCCGAAACTCAAACTGAGGTGTAGTTTAGTAAACATTTGCACCCAATCTTGAATGGTTAAAACCTATGATGTGGGGACATATTTGTCCCAGAATTTGCTTCAGGGGAAAATAATTATTCAACGTTTATAACAGGGACTGTAGTAAATCCTGATTGTGATGTGCTCGGGTTCTACGTTTTCTAGCATTCATCTATGTCGAAAACCATCGATCCACTAGAGCAAGCGGTCATGCACGTCGTTTCTTTCAACACTACATTTAAGCCCTCAGTTTGTGTTTAGTAGTGGAAAATCCGTAAAAGGCTCTCCATCATCAAGACTTACGGCGCTTCTTGTTTAACGTGAGTTAATTGTGAACACTTGGGAAAGTTGCTCGCTGGTATTTCGCCCATTCCGGTTCCATTATCTTTCAATAGCCCTCACAGTCTCCAGCTGACCAGACCACTACTCCATCTCAAGCAAGTTTACAGCTTCAGGACCAAGGACGAGGCTACCAACAGCTAAAGTAATAACGCAGTTCAAAATGAATAATACTCCTCAGGAATGTTTGTCCCTTTGTCTGCTAGGGAGGTACTGCATGTTGGGAGAACTTCGAGAAAGTTCAGTTCACTTCCTTTTTCACAAGCTGACCACAGCAGCTGACTCATCAATACTTACCGCTGAACAACACTAGAGTGAGCTTGTATGGGTAATCAGGATTCTCCGCTATCCCAAGCGTGGTAACGGCTTACTTCGAGTAATTGTGGAATACTGTGTATATGGGGGAAAATTAGTTTCATATCATGAAAGTCCTAGATGTCAAAGACAGCCTTTAAGGTGCACATTAAGATGAAGAGATCTGCTGGATCGTTGTTTGAAAACTCCGTTCACAACAGTCCATTAAGAGAAAAGGGTGAATTGGTCAATGTCTTCGATCTCATTGCTTTAGCACTGCTCTTAAAGCTGAATGCCCACTACCGGCTTCATCGTAAGTTGGGAGCTCATCATAGTACGTGAATGCAT